GCGCTCTACCGCCGCCGGCTCCCTTTAACCTCAACTTCCTTGTGGCGAAATGGAAACGTAATCACTCTGCTCCCATTCGTCGAGTGGAAAGAATGACAAGTGAGTCACACTTCACATCGCAGGTGAGAGTAACTGAATTACTCCAGGAAAAGCAGAGGGCGGGCTCTGGGTCCCGAACCCGTTGCCATTTCTGCCGCCCTTGAACAGGTCTCCGCCCTGCGGCCAACGCGGTCCGCTGGCCCGCACCCCGTCCCGCGGTCGGGCAGGCAGCTCCGGCGCTTCGGCTCCGCCCAGACGCGAGGCTGGACCTCTCACCAGGGGCGCAGCCCCCGCTTCGCGCCACGCCGGGAGGCACGCCACATGAAGTGCGCCTGCGTAGGGCGCTGGGCCCCTGGGCACGGCCTTCTCTCGACCGGCCTGAGCGCACCGCGCCTGCGCGGGCCGAGTCGTACTTTGACTCCACTTCTCCGACCGGGGGCGCGTTCGGAATGCGCATTCGCGGGGCGGGCCTTCTCCGCTGACGACTTGCGCGCATCGCGCCTGCGCGGGCTGAGGGCGGTGGCTCCGGCTGCTGCTCGGCGCCGTCCGCCCCTCTGTGCTGGCGGTGTGGACGCGACTCAGCGGAGAGACGCGGCTGAGGTAGGTTTCCCCGAGGCAGCTCCGGCCGCGGGACCGCGCGTAGGCAGGACTGGCCAAGTGACAGGTCTTCGCTTGGTGTGTGCGTGGCCAGTGGACTGAGGCCTCCGCCCCACGTTGAGACCACCCGGCTCCTTCCCCGCCTCTCTGCTTCGTGCCTTGGCTGCCGCTTCCGAGCTCGGCGCCCCGCCCCTTCCAGGGCCCCGCCCTCTCCAACCACGCCCTTTCCCCTCCAGCCACGCCCCTCGCGGGCACGCCCACTTCCCTACGGTCTGCGCCCCCTTGTCGTCCTCTGCCCGCAGTGAGGCGACGTCACACTTTCTTCCCTGCTTTCCCCCACCTGCTGCACCCATGCGCCGCCCCACCCATCCACTCCCTCCACCTGCCACACATCCTCTCGTGCCCCTCGCGATCCCGGGGCCACTCATCGCACAGCCCACGGAGCCTGCGCCCCTGTGCAGGCCTGGGCATCACCTGGCCCCACCCCGCCTTGGAGCTCCACGTCCATCAGCCCGGCCTCGCCCAGGCGCCGCCCCATCAACTCGCCCCGCCCAGGCCCTGATCCACCCTGGTCCCAAAGCAGTGTTTTCCAATGAAAATGTAACGTATGTGTATTAGCATTTGTAAGGATAAATGTCACAAAAATAATTATTAGGTCTTGATTGATAAATGAAGCACGTATTTTAAACAGAACTGAATTGAAAAGAAAACACACATTCATCTTGGAGTCTAATACAGATTACTGTCACTGGAAAAATAAGACTTGAGCATGAGAAGGAAAAGCCGTTGGAAGATGCAGACCTTGGTTCATGTTAGTGGAAATACTTTAAAGCCTCAGGTAGGGAAGTTTAATTGGAATTAAAACTAACAGGATTCCAAGAAAAGATTTTCCAGTGCTGTGCTTTAAGTCAACCCAGTGATCTGACGGAAACTTAACAGGCTTCGTTTGCCAATGACTGAGACGAACACCTTGCAGACTGGTGAAGAAAACACACACTTCTTTGAAGTTCATACATTTTCGCTGCTTTCAGATGTTTTTGTAAAGAATTGCATTTATAAATTTTATTTCTATTCCATTCTTTACATATATAAGTTTTATTTCCATTTAGTAGAGGACCTTTCCCTGGACCTTAGAAGCAAAGTGAACTTAATTATTATGCGATGTAACAAATCATTTTCTCATTCTCTCTCTTTTAATGTAGAAATGGAGAGGAAAATGAAACATTAAAAGTGGCAGCTATGCGGCAGATCCTAAAAGAACCATGGCAACATCAGGTGATTGCCCCGGAAGTGAATCTCAGGTAATTTCAGTTCTGGTCTGTAAGAGTCTATACTTAAAGACCGTCAACATTACAGAGAGCTGAGATCAGCCCAGAGTGATGGCGTTTTCCTTAGACTGAGGAAGGTGGCTCCCAATCATGGCATGCTTAAATACAGGAAATTCAGTGTTTGTAAGGATTACAGATGACATTCTGAACTTGGCATTGTAAACATTTCCCAAGAACCTGAGGTTTAATTTTGGTACCTGTGTTGGTGAAACAAGCACATTTTCTTAGTTATTTAATAGAGTCTCAGGTAGCCCAACTGGTATGGCTCAGTTTGTTGAGCATCTCAGTTGGTCAGGGTGGTTCATTTACCTCATAGACACTAAAAGTGCCTCTTTCTTGTTTCTTTGTTTGATGTTCTCTTGAGGTTGCAAATCATTTTGTACTAGGGATAAGTACAGGCGGAGTGCAGGTGAGCCCCCTTAATTCTGCTAGTGAGAATGACCCAGTTGTTTGTATGATAAAAACTTGAATGTTCATGAAACCACCCTAATTAACCTGGAGCCACAAAAATACAAAAATAAATAAATAAATAAATAAATAAATAAATAAATGCCCCATAATCATTTTTTCTTCTCTCCTTGGCTTTGAGCAGGAGGGAGAAGAACCTGTGGAACACTGTGAAGAGCACCTCCCGGAGGTTATGCACCCTGAGGAGTTCGTGGCCATCGCAGACTATTCTGCTACCGATGAGACACAGGTAGCCGTGTGCATCAGGTCCATATTCTGTGGATTCCAGCATGCTCAGAATTAGGTGAAGTTTTCCAGAAGCCATTCCAAAGTTAAAGAAGTATTCAGATGTTTAGAGCCACATGAGGCCTGTGAGTGGCTGATCCTTCCCTTGCCAGCCTAACAAATTGTGATCCCAAGCCTGATGTGACAGATACCTGGGTGAGGAATGGGGGAGGAAGCACTTGTTCCAGTTTCTACTTGGCAATCTTGATTAAGAACTTATTCTCATTACTAAAAAGTAAGGCTATAAATAAAAATATCTGCTTGAATTGGACTTTCTTTACTCTGTAACAGGAATTTCTTAGCCTAAGCCTCCAGTCACTGAATCGGCTACCACATAGTTGAGTTACGGTGGAGAGGCTGTTGAGAATTTCTGTCCTAAGCCATTTGAAAATGTTTAATCTTTAAAAAAAAAAATCAATTAAGCTGTGATTTTCTTTCGTGTAGATGTTCCACAAAAACCTCTAAATCCTGGTACCATTTCCATAAATTGTCACTTGGTATAATTACCCATTGACTTCTTTTTGAAATTGCTGTGATTTGGGCCCCAGTGATCGGGGATTTATCACAGAGCCACAGTTGAAATGACAACTACAACTTTTTCTTAAATTTTCACTTCTATATATGTGTTTACAGCTCAGTTTTCTAAGAGGGGAGAAAATTCTCATCCTGAGACAAACTACTGCTGACTGGTGGTGGGGCGAGCGCGCCGGTTATTGTGGGTACATACCAGCGAACCACCTTGGGAAGGACCTGGAGGAGTGTGACCCTGAGGACACATGGCAGGATGAGGAGTACTTCGGCAGCTACGGAACTCTGGTATTGCTTTCAGATTCCCTGTTCAGCTCGCCAGGTGGTGGTTTCTTCTCTCTAGTTTTAGGTTCTAACTTTTCAAAATAACTTCTGGGCTTCTACTCACTGTAGAAACAGGACTTATTAGGCCACACCCTCTGATTTGGGGCTACTAAGCTCTGTTGTAGTGTGAAAGCGGCCCCCAAGACATAAAGAGGCATGGCTGTATTCTAAGAAAACTTTATGACACTGAAATTAGAATTTCATATAATTTTTATGTGTCATATTCTTCCTTTGATTTTTAAAAACCAATTAAAAATGGAAAAGCCATCCTTAGCTTGCAGGTCATACAGAAGCAGGTGGTGGGCTAGATTGGCCCATGGACTGTAGTGTAGTTGACCCCTGGTTTAGGGATATTATCTGAGCAATGAGATTATGAACTTTTCTCAGTATTTTAAAAAAAAGTTATACATTTAAAAAGAAAATACAAAAAAGACACAGCAACAATAATACGATCTCTAAATAACTAACTTATTAGTTTGTTTTTTTTCAATGTGGATAAAGATCCATAATCCTATGGTCCAGACAACCCCATTTATATTTTAAAACTAGATAAAAACAGATACTTGCAGAATGAATGTTACAAACCGAATGTGGAGTGAAAGAAGCAAGACATCAAAGTATAACTAACATTTGATTCAGTTATATAAAGTGAAAAGGTATTGTTTGTGATGGGTGTATACAAGTGGCGAAACTCTGAAGGAGATCAGGGGCCCAGTTCCTCTGAGGATCCAGAGTGTGTGTTCTCACTCCCGCCCCAGAGAGGTCACTGTGCCTTGAAGTTCCTTTCAGCAGCACTGGTTATGCTTGCACCAGGTCTAAGCTACAATGGTTTTAGTTTTTCAAATTGTAGAAAAGGAGTATTCAGCACCCACTGTTCTCACCTCGCTCTTTGCATGTACCTGTGCTATTTTGAAGGTCTGTTCTTTCCATCAGCTGCAGAGTATTGTGTTCCTTATAAAAAAACCGAGTTGGTGGACTGTGCTTGTTTAATGGCTCTTTGTCATGACAAGCAATGTTGTGATGGATGTCCTCCTACATGAATCCTGCTAAACTTTTGCTAGAATTTCCATTGGGTAGATTTGTAGGGTGTGTGTATGTGTTTTTTACTTTGGTGGATCTTGCCAGTTTGCCCTCCCAAAAGATTTGCTGATTGTACACCCACTAGTGGTGTGTGGGAGCTTATTTCACCACTGCAAAGCATCAAAGGGAAACAATTTTCTGTCTTAAAGGTAAAATACAGTATCTCTGATTTCCATTTTTAAAAGTGAGAATGATCATCTTTTATATTTTATCAGCCTTTTGTATTTCTTCCTTTTTGGGGAAACTTTCATACAATTTTCCCATTTTTCTTCTGATTTCTGTTGATTTAAATGTTAAACAAGCAGTTTAGACTATATTTATGATATCTATTAAACTTATCACTTGCCACTCTTTTTTCCCCATGAAACTTTTTATCTTTATATTGTCTAATTTGTCTTTCTTTTCTTTGTGGCTTCTGGGTTTTAAAGACCTCCTTCACTGCAAGATTATAAATATAAATGTATAACAAGCTTTTGTTTAGAACTTTTGTGATTCCATTTTTTACAACAAAATAGTTAAGTCAATCTGGAATTCACCTGCTGTAAAGAATAAGGTAAAATTCCGACTTGATTTCCCCACAAATATCTAGCTGTTCCAGCATTGGTTACTGAACTTTCTTTTCTGCTGACATAGAAATGCGCGTTTATCATACGTTAAATTTCTAGGATCTGTTTCTGGAATCTTCTGTTTCATTGATCTGTTTATTTCTTCTGCAGTTCCAGAGGCTTTTCATTATTGTAGCTTTTTAACTTTTGGGGGAGCTAGGCCTTGAGCATCTCTTTTTTTAGCATTATCATTGCTAGCTTTGTCTGTTTTTCAGAAACTAATTTTATTATCATTTGTCCCCTCCTCCCCATGCCAAATTATTTGGCATTTTAATTGGTATTGGATGAAAGTGTACATTAATTTAGGGAGAAGTGACATGTTTGTAATATCACACTGACTCTCTCCATTTCTGAAGCCTGCTTTATGTCTCTCTGATTTTTTTGTTTTTTTTAAACGTGTCTTTATTGATTTCAGAGAGAGGAAAGGAGGGGGAGAGAGAGAGACAGAAACATCAATGATGAGAGAGTCATTGATCGGCTGCCTAGCCCGCAACCCTGGGTATGTGCCCTGACTGGGAATCGAACACCGATCTCTTGGATCCTAGGTCAGTGCTCAACTGCTGAGCCACGCCTGGCCAGGCTATGTCTCTCTGAGTTTTAAGGTTTTGATCATACAAGGTTGTGTACCTTTCTTGTTAAACCTGTTCCTAGTTTGGCTAAGTTGTTTGATAATGTTGTTCAGGTCCATGTCTGCACTGATTTTCTGTCCACTTCTATAAATTACTGAAAGAAGGGTGTCTCTGACCATCATTGTGAATTTGTCTATTTCTTGTTGCATCTGGTTGGTTTTTGCTTTGTGTATTTTGAAGCTCTGTTATTAGGAACAAAAGTTCCTGGGAACATTCTTTGCCCTGAATGTATTTTTTCTGGTTGTAATGCTGCCACCCCAGTTTCCTTCCCCTGGCCTCAGCATGCCCCCATATCCTCGCTCTGACTTTCTATTGAGGTGATTGCTGCAGGCAGGATAGCTGGGTCTTGACTCCACTGGTGGAGTCCCTTTTTTCCCCAGTCAACATTGTTTTTGTGAGGAGCCAACATGGCCTGTGAAGGCCCATTCAGACCCCCAGTTTATGCTAACACAGTCTGGGTCGCCTGGCTGTGTGTCTCCCTCTGAGTGATGCTGCTTATAGGCTAGGCTTTCTGCAGCTTGTGACCTGAGCAGTAGGGCATGGGGGATGTGGCTATGGGTACAGCTTTACCAGCAGTCAGGGCTCTGACTGACATCTGGCTTCATGAACCATCTAAAGGAGCCTTTCTCTGCCTCTCTGGGCATTGGCCCAATTCCCTTGGGGTATGTCCTTGGGTTTCAGATTTTGGACATGGCTGGGGGCCTTGAGCTGAACCTCCAAGGTAGGTGGGGTTGTCACCTCCCTCCAGAGCTACAGTTTTTACACTCAAGCAAATGAGGAACAGATTTATGTGTGAGAGTGACTTTTGGGCCCTTTGTGAAGAGGATTCTAGGGTGGGGCCCTGTGTGCCTCCTCTGGGATCTCTCCTGATGGCTTGTCTTTGCCCTCTCTTGGGTAACACTCAGCCAGGTTGTGCCTGGTTGGTATGTGGCAGTTCCTTCTGTCTCAGGTGGGAATAGGGATCAGGAGGGTGAAGTCTCCACCGCTTCCTAGTGGTCCACACTTGCTTCTCTGCTCACCTGGCTCACTGGGAGGTGCAAGGAGAAGCTGCAGGCACCTTACCAAGGCCAAAGGATTCCAGAAACTTCCAGTTATTCCTTCACTGTCTATTTTTTATTTATCTGTTGGCACATTTTGGTCTTTTGACTGCTCATGTTTTATGTGTGGGGTCGAAAGAGTCAACGTAGGCCCCCATCTTCCACCTTTAAGCACAGCTTGCCGTAGCTCTAATTATAGGCAATGACTTAATATGCTTCTCCTATAGAAACTTCACTTGGAGATGCTAACAGACCAGCCACGAACAACTAAATACCACCACGTGATCCTGCAGAACAGGGAGTCTCTCAAAGACAAAGTGATTCTGGATGTCGGCTGTGGGACCGGGATCATCAGCCTCTTCTGTGCACATTACGCACAGCCCAAAGCGGTGAGAATGAAGTGGCCATCCCTTTAGGAGCTTCAGAGCTACATCTCAGTGACATGTCCTTTGTGTACGAGGCATCGTGTTGACAAAGCGGGCAGCATGTCCTTGAAGGCTGAGTTGGTCAGAGGTTGTGGCATTGGTTAACGAGCCACAAACAGCACAGAGTGGGATAGGACAGGTAGAAAATATCCCAGCGAGCTGCATGTGGTGGTAGTTTTTGTGAAATGTTTATTTCCATTTAATATAGAAACATGCATCCCATGTGTATAGGTCACCGTCCAAGTGTCGTGCCTGTCCCAAGAAGTGACTGCCTGGCAGCGACAGAACAGACCTCACTCTCTTTAAAGCACATCTGGGCTGTGCAGAGTTGCAGCACCTTGGCAGCCCCAAACCAGGCAGATAGTTCCTAGTTTACAGGTGAGGCTGCAGTGCAGGGACCACCTGAGTTCAGATCCTGTTGGAACCAGGACATAGTGCTCAGGATCGTCCGCTGAGAACCTGGATTTGAAATTATGTCAGAAGCCGCTGGTATTCTGGAAGTTGGACTGTTCCAAGGACCTTCTGCGTCAGCGGTTAGGGATTGTTGCTGGGTGCTGGCCTTACCGAGGAGGCCCTAGGGCCGGGCGGGCGAGAGGCCCCATGTGGGTGCAGAGGCTTCTGGCCACCTGCAGCCCCAGGTCTGTTTTAGGCAGAAGGTGGAGTTAGGATTAGGTGCAGCTCCTTTCCAGGGCTCCCTCTGGTACAGGCAGCACACTGGCCCTTCCGCTGGCAGCATACCGCCTCCTGCTGTTCCTGCCATTTGCCATGTTGTCTGATGCTGGTTCTGACTCAGTCGAGGTGGTGACAGGCTGCTGTGCACTGATGGTCCTTCTGCCACATGCAGGTGTACGCGGTGGAGGCCAGCGAGATGGCCCAGCACACGGGGCAGCTGGTCATGCAGAATGGCTTCGCCGACATCATCACCGTGTTCCAGCAGAAGGTCGAGGACGTGGTGCTGCCGGAGAAGGTGGACGTGCTGGTGTCCGAGTGGATGGGGACCTGCCTGCTGGTAAGGGTGGGAAGTGGCTGGTCTGGTCTCTGGAATCTTCACAAATCATAATTAATTTTGACTTTTTCCCTAAGGTCAGGTGCAGTTTATTTTTTTATGTGAACATTGGCCCAATGTCTTATTTTTAACTGATTAAAAAAATGCCTTTATAAGAATCTGGATCTCTTTCATGAGTGATTTACATAAACATAAAACATAAAACAATTGTTAAAAAAATTATCTGATGTTAGGATAGGAAGGTTTTTCTAAGAACAAAGCCCATTAAGAAACTATAAAATAAAATATTTGACCAAAGATGTATGCTTTGTACGTAACCAACCTATAGATTATTAAAAGGTAAGTGAAACTGTAAAGATTTGCAGCTTATATCACAAAGGACTAATATCCTGTTTCATAAAGAGCTCCAATAAGGCAGTAAGAAAAGCATAAGATAGGTAACTCCAGGAAGGTGGGCAAGGGGCATGAAAAGGCACAAGACCAGACACATGAACATTGTTTAATGTCACTAATAATCAAAGAGGTAACTTAAAGATTTTTGAGATATCAAATTGGCTGAGAAATCATCAAATATCTGATGATACTGTGTCATTGAGGTTTTGGGGAAACTGTCATACTCTGTTTGACGGTGTAGACTGATACCGTTTTTTGAAGGAAAATGGCGGGATATATCAAGAAGCATTACAAATATTTAAATGAAATTATCCTAAGGAAATAACCAGATTTTTATGTAAATTTATGCTAAAAAAATGTACATGGCAACACCACTTAAAATGGAAGAAAATTGGAAAAAGTACAAATAACTGCGGCATTCCATATAAGAGAGTACTCTATGGCCATTACATTTATGTTTTAGAAAGATTCTTAATAAACTTAGAGAAAAGTTAGTGACAGTTTGTTGATTTAAAAAAAAAAAAGCACAAAAAATAATTGCAGTATGATTGCAATTTTATTTTATTATTATTTTTTTTAAAAATATATCTTTATTGATTTCGGAGAGAGGAAAGGAGAGGGAGAGAGAGAGATAGAAACATCGATGAGAGAGTCATTGATCGAGCCCGCAACCCGGGCATGTGCCCTGACCGGGAATCGAACCCCGATCGCCTGGATCCTAGGTTGACGCTCAACCGCTGAGCCACGCCGGCCAGGCGCATGATTGCAATTTTATTTTTAAAATCGTGTGTAGCAGTGACCCAGCTTCAGTTGCAGGTGAGATGGAGCGAGCACATCGCACCCTGTCTCTCCCCCTGAGTACAGCTGCTGGTCAGGACAGGGTGCAGGGAGAAGCTACTTGAGAACTGTGAAAAATGCCTTTTTTAGCAGGTAGGTTGGGAAAGACCAGAATTTGAAGTACCGCTGACCTGGTCTTGAGTTTATCATTGTTCCTTCTCTGGTTCTATCTGCATACATAACTTCAGTAAGTTAGCAGGAAAGGACTGTTGACCCTAAAAATAAAAGTCAGTTATTTAGCAAAAGTTGACTTATTCAGGAATGGCAAAGAATTGAAATTTGGGACAAGCAAGCTATAGCAAAGCCATAGGCAAGTCCAACAGAGGAGACTTTATGGAGGGAAAGGAGGAAGTTGGGAGGACTGGATTTACTGTGTGACAGTTTAAGAATAAAATTAAAAATTACACATATAATTTTCACATTTGTGTATGTGTGTGTGTTTGAAGAAAAATCCTTGAAGAAAATTTTCAAGCAGTAACAATGGTTCCTTCTGGGTGCTGGGTTTATTCATAATTTTTATTTTTATTTGTGCTTTTCTGAGTTTTCTAAATTTTCCCATACTGAACATGTATGACTTCTACAGTAAACCTGCCTGAGGTTAAGAAAAACGGAACCCTCTGTGGCTTCCCATCGGCCACGGGATGAAGGGCCTCCAGCTTCCTCCTCACTCCCTGGCACACACTCTGGTTCAAACACAAAGCTGGGTTCTCAGTTGTTGGTGACACATGCTACCTGTGTCTGGGGGCATTCTGAGGGGACACGAGGTGGCGTTTGGCTGCTCCTCTGACTTAAGTGCCACATGAGTCTCTGTGGCACTCCTGCTTTGACCTTTTATGTTTTTAAGCAGTGATTTCAGTCAACTTAAAGGGTTGTGAATATTCTGACAATACCCCAGACCAAATTGATTTCATTGGACAGTTAAAACCCTTTCAAAACTTCGGGCCTTTTAAAATGTAGTAGTAACTACTGAGTGGCTGAGGTGGGACGAGAGTGAAGATCTATCCTAACCTTTAGCCATACCCAGCTTTGAATTCTAACACGGAGTGATGTGATAGGAAGTGGCCGTTAATGTGTGGGTATAAGAGAAATCCTCTGAGACCTGCTGGCTGGGCAGGGCTCATCCTGGCTGGTAACACTCTTGAGGGTGAAACTTGTGAAGATCCCAGACCATCCAAATGCAGCAGGGAGGTCTGTGCAGACACTGGCCTCAGGCGCCATGTCTCCCATGGGTTTGTCCCTCTCGCGCAGTTTGAGTTTATGATTGAGTCCATCCTGTACGCCCGGGACGCGTGGCTGAAGGAGGACGGGATCATCTGGCCGACCACGGCCGCACTGCACCTCGTCCCCTGCAGTGCCGACAAAGATTACCGCAGCAAGGTTCTCTTCTGGGACAACGCCTACGAGTTCAACCTCAGCGCGCTCAAGTGAGTGTCCGTGGCTCAGGCCCGCACAGGCATCCTGGGTCCTTCCACAGTGTGAGCTGCAGGCGTTTCTAGGGCAGAATAATGTATGCTGTTGTAGAACTTGCCATGAAACTATCTAAATTTGCTCACGTGCCTAAGAGTTTTGCATGTTGCCTTTCATGCCTTTAAACTGATAACAGCTGTGATGGGAATTGAACTGTCTTTTGCATTCTAAGGCCCCAAATATAATGGGGAAAATAAGGCCACACTTACAGATGAGGCCTTTATAAGTGTGTGGGCCATTCCAACAAATGTATATTCCCACGGAGAGCTATAAATTCAAATAAGGATCAGAAAATGTATTAGTAAAGTCATTCCTGGAGCTCTGCAGAGAAAGAAATGCTTCAAAATAGTTGATTTCCTGGTTTTTAACAGATGATACACTTGTACAGTTGAGCTTTAGGCTTGATTTCCTGATAAGGTCTTCATATTTCTATGCTGCTTCCTCTGAGAATGGGGGCCACATAAGCTGGCTGCTTCTCCTGAGAGTGCCATGGGAATTAGGCAGGAGAAACCCAGTATCAGGCCCGGAAATTAAGGAAGGGCTCCCCTTTGTCAGAAGCTGCAAGAAACTTCCACTCGTAGCAAGGACCAGGTGAACCTGGATGCCTGCTAGACATCCAGATGGGGGGTAGACAGCAAGACGGGCCTCTGGGCCTTTTGGTTTATTATAAGAGAAAAGTGTCAACCAAAGGTTACTGCTGCCAATTCAGCACCAACAGGAGTGCGCTACAGGAAAGACTTCATTGAGTGAAACAGCTCCTGTTGCAGCTCAGTTTGCAAACCTGGGAAGGCAGCCATGGTGCTCTCCTGAGACAGAGGGGAGGCTGGCTTATACAGAGAGGTTTCTGCCCCCGTCCCTGATTGGTTTATTTTCATGTAAACGAGGAATCCTAATTTGTACAGCTTGATTGGTCCAAAAAGCACTGTTCTAATTGGTCAGCTTCATGAATTCTGATTGGTGAGCAAAGATGCAAATGAGGATATAGCTGCACATCTCATTGGATGGGCAGGCCTTCAGCCCACAGGCCTTCAGCCCACTGGTTGAATTGGATACCAGGAGCTCTCTTATAAGGGAGGAGAGGCGGTCAGCCTGCTGCTCCTCCCTGAAATGCGCTGTGTCTGAGAGGCCCCTGGCAAACAATGACTGCTAGACTCTGGTTCTGTATTGGAGCCCAGTTTACCACAGGGAGTCCTTGGCAGGTATATTCTTCTCAGGGTCAATAATAGTAATGCAGAGGTATGAAATCTTCCCAAGTTAACCCTGAATCATTGTACTCTCAACCCAGATCCCAGAGGGAGTGGAGAGGGAAGGTCCTGACAGCTGTTCTGTAGTTCATCTAGGAAAAAATGGGTAGGAAGGGCTGGGCAGGTTATGAAAAGAGGCATGAGGAGGTTCTTATTCTCCTCAGGTATTAACGTCTATGATAGGGTCAGGTTAATTAAAGCAGTTTGGTCCTGCACCCAGAAAGGACAGATGAGCAGAACAAATCAGGACAGGAAGGTCCAGCAGAACTGGAGTCTGTGGGAGAGGTGGGGCGTGAGGGCTGAGGCAGGCAGTTATCCTGGGACAATTGATTTGCTCCTTGGAGAAAGTTTTTTTCTTCTCTCACACCACATATTAAAACAATTCCATGTGGATTTTTAAGAGTTTTGTGTTAATATGCTATATTTTCTAAATTCCTTTTAAGTGCATAATTATTTTTATCATAAGAAAAAAATATGAAAATGTGTACATATAGTGGAATCTTTATTAAAATGGTTACCTTTATTTGCTATTTCAGAAGTTACTGCTGTGCTTAATTTTTGCAACATTTCTGTAGTAAATAACTGATTACTTTCGGGCAAGCACAGGGGCAGCCTGTGAAATGGAGTATTAGACGGGATGGCCTGCAAAGGGGGGGTGCAGAGGCCCAGCTGTGTCTCCTGAGTTAGGCCCAAGTGGGTGCCTTCAGTCCTGCTGATTCCTTGCATTTATTACAGAGTAACCTAGAACAGGAATATCTTTTTTATTTGCTGTGTAATAGAAGATCCATGAAAATTATTTTATAATAAGGTAGATTCTAAAACTGAAGAAAACACACTGCAGCCCTGTATATTCTGGGTGTTCGGTGAAGGTTGGTTTC